GACCAGTAAGTGTTAAGTGTTGCTCCACTACATGAGTGACCTGTGTGAGACATGCATGCGGCATGTTAACTGGATGTAACCTTTACATCCAAAGCATTGATTTGACGTAAAAGAACACGATGTGACAGCAATATGAAATGTTGTTTAAGAGAATAGAGCTGCTGCTGCCTCGATGACTGCTACTTGTTCACACTGATAAAAATAAACAACAATGCCCACTCACAGAGGAGGGCTCCGACTCGTGGCCTTTTGTACCACAACGCTACAATTCTTCAGACTAAATAACAGAGGAAAGGGCCAAGTACTCTTCACACACATAATTCTTCCCAACACACAGACATATGCACTTACAGGGTAACCATTGCTGCTGATAGCCTATCTATAGAAGGCAGGTGAGTGCAGGCGCTCCTCACGCTAGGAGATAAGGCCGATCAATACACAAGGAAACGATACAGCTGAGCTGAGGTAAACACGAGGGAATAACACTACGTTCGCTAACAGGACAATAGTCCCAAGATGAGATGTTGTTCCAGTTAGAGGGATAAAGCGGCTATTTCCGTCTGCCCTCTCAGTTTGTGACATTCGGAGACAATAGTAACAGCAGGGGTCTGTCCACCCTCCTGCACTCACAGACCTTTCCCCTCTGAAGGTCAGGGGGTCCCACCTGTCCCACAAGGTTCAAACTATTGTTCAGCAGCGAGGTGTGGAGTCAGACAATCATACACTCGGAAACAACCCAGAAAACACTAACAGTTAAGTATATGGTCCCCTTGGTAGAGCATGACATTTTGATTGACAGGAATAAACATGTGGGCTACGAAGCTTTTTCCTCTTCAGGCCAAATCCACCCATGCATATTCACACCTACTCTTATATAGCATCAGTCTGTGATGCTTCAAGCTTTCCATGAGCTATTTTGTGAGAATATTCAAAAGTAGTTACTTTTTCTTGCAGATAATTTAGCTACAGTTGAGCTTCATCTACTTTTTCCCTTATAAGGGGCACTTCAAATCATTAAGGTGTTAATGTAATAATCCAACAGTAGCTTAATTACAAACGTAGAATATACAGAGTGACATTAGCATACATGTCAAGGTCTGTTTTGTGCACTTAATGAAAATAGGTCCATTATTCATTCACCTTCTTGTTTGGTCTCCACCAATTCCATGTGAGAAAAAACTAGCTTGTGGCTAACTGTGTCTACAGTTAGGTGTGGGCTGGGCTTGTTTCTGAGAAAAGCATGGCCCGCTTGAATCAAAGCTGTAAAATTATGGACCTAAAATCAAAAACGAGCAATCAAAAATGCCAAAAGTCTTCGTGGAGCTGTTTTATAGCTGGTTCTTCTTCGTGGGTATTTCACAATGAGCATCTCTTTCTAAATAACACAAAGTCGAATTAGAAATTGTTAAAACAAAAATATTGATAATTACGTTACACAATTTTAAGTGTCTCTGGGACAATAGCTTCTCCTTTGTTTTTAATTTGTGGCATGTCCTTAGTGGAAACATTTCCTCAGAGATAACTCTGCATCCATAAGGAAACACGTGCCACTTTAAGGTAATGATTTACTGAGGTGTGTTCTCTGTCTTGACATTTGAAAAATAACTCTGCTTAAGCCTGTGAGCTCTGCATCTTGACCCAGCTAAATTTGTTTGTAGTAAATCAATGTTTTACCAAGGATAAAGAAACCTCAGCTGCTGTCAAACTCAAGCCTGCATAAACATGTCATTCTGTGGAGAGTTCCTTCAGTTAAACGACTGATCACCTTGTTCAAAACTTTATAAGAAATATGTATGTGTTAACACTTTGATTCTAGTTGTTTTAATGAATGTGATGTATTTATTGTCATGGCATTGCCACTAAACAGCCTCATATCAGACAGTGGCAGAATTCAGACAGGCAACCATGCACGCCCAGCCAAATCCCACAGTGATTTTATTAACCGGGCCAGGCTTTAATCGCAGCGACAGACGGCTCAGAGAGCGTATCAGGCCAGCCACAGGCAGAAGGATGACCGTGTAGTGAAAGCTCGAAGTGTAAGAGCATGACACTTTCTTCTTTGAGCGATCAGACATGACCTTGTCTATAAAGAGTCTATGTGATGAGTCCAGACAGGAGAGAGAGAAAGGGTAACAGGATAAGCCTAAGATTGGGAGTGAACAATAAGATAATTGTGGAGAAAGGGGGAGATAATCTAAGAAGCTAAAGAAACTGAGTTCTAGAGGGGAAACAGACCAAAGCAGTGAGTGCAAGAAGGGCTGATTAGTGTTTGATTAGCTGGTCTGCCTGAAGGGACCGGCACAGAGCCTTCACAACTGTGCTCTCCCTGCTGCACCATCTGGACTGCACCATGCATGACTGACCTGCTTTTCACCTACACGCAACAAGAAAAGAGCAGAACGTATTATCTTTATTTTTGAAGGTGTTGACAGTAAGTTGGCTTTTATGCCTCTGAGAGGTCAAGCTATTTAATGGAACTTTTATCTAAGTTTCAAATCAGGCCATGAAAAAAAAAGGGTGCTGTTTATGAAAATCTCTGTGCCTGATGGAAATGAGTTTGTTTTCTCCGCTCTTTATGTAAGCAACAGTAAGCAAATGGTCAGCAGACATCCAAGCAGAATTAGTGTTTCATCAGCTGCCAGAGATTTAAGGAGATGCAGTATGCACACACATGCGCACTCACACACACACACACACACACAGGAGTGTCAACCCCCTGGGAGCTCAAACAGCTGAATGACTGAAGAGCAGGGAAGAGACGCTGCTAATAGGTTGTTGTCAGAAATTTTCCCGCACTGCTTTTAGCGAACAGATGGTCTTGGATACTTTTACAAAACCCCTCACCATGACGCTGTTAAATAATATCACTGTTTATAATGTGACAAGTATCATACATTAGCAAAGTAAACCATACAGGAGCCAATTACAAAATGTTTAAGAATTATTAAGCCAGAGTTTATTTTGCTTTATTTCTCTGAAACGCTCCAAAGGGTGAAATATGGCTTTCACAAGTAATCACCAGCTGTAAACTTTATCATGTGTTGCTGTATTTGTTTGATAAATGAACTCTGCACCAAACAATCTGCAATTCGTTTTCTGTAAATCCGACAATCGTGTTCATCAAAAGAGAAGGCCTTTTTGGGAAATTGTCAGTTATGCTTGTGAGACAAAAGTTTTGTCAGATGCTAAAACTGATCATTTTAAAGAAGTTACAACAGCTCATTGGATTTACTTGATGCGAACCCAAAGGGCCATTACACCGATATTACAATTATAACAGATCTGCACAATATGAAAAAGGTGGACTGTGTGGTTTCATTGTTCAATAAAATGATAACAATATGCAGTGCGATAAACAACAATATAGCTTATATTTAAAAGTTATATTCAAGTCATATTTGCTTTCACTACATTTTTGTCAACCTGCTGTTCTTAATGTTTCACAAAATATGTGTTTGCAGCATTTCCCCCCTGAATCCAAAATAAATCTAAAGTATTCTTTTCCCGCCACTAATTAGCATCAAATAATCTGAGGGTGTTTTATGACTAGATTGACCTTTGTCTGACATCATCAAAATGGTATAAAAGTATGGCTGTAATGCCTTCCTCCATGGGCAAAATGTACACATGCTGAGTGAGAATGCATTTCATAAAATCACTTTTTTTTCATCGTGATAACTGTGATTTTTGCAATATGTTTAAGCAACAACTCATATCCTGATAAAAATGAAGCTGTGACTCATTGCACAGCCCTTGGTTGTGCCAATAAGATTAAAGTTACGGAAGATGCTTAAACTGATCATTTTAAAGAAGCTTGAACAGCTGATTGGATGTATTTGAATGCAGACCTAAATCAGTCAGTGTATATCACAGTTATATCATCATTTGATCATATAACACTAACTGGATCCAGCCAGATTCTTGAAACGGCTCAGTCTCTACACTATTTGATTGGGTTTGATACCTTTTCGCCTTTAATGATGAAGGAGAGCTGACGGCACAATCTCCTTCATCTCCTCCTCTCAGTCACCCCCTGTGTCACAGTGAAGTGGGCTGGACGAGGTGGGGGAATGCATTTTTTGTGTGGTGACTTTAACCATAAACAACACTTAAGCTGCCTCTGTGATTGCCGTGCAGTGATCGGTCAAACACATTGACATGACAGCAGTATATCACAACACTGCATCCCCTCTTTGAATCCTCCAATAATCCATCCCTCACCTACAGGAGCGGTTACCATGAAGTCTCCAAAAACAGCTCACACATCTTCTGTGTCTCTTTTGTCAGACAGGCTCCTTCACTTACGTCAGCACACACACATAACCACAATACTATAGGTCTCTTCCTGCAACGCTCCATGAGTCCTCAGGTCAGAGGTCACCTGTGGCCTCTGGTCTCCAGGACAACAGTCTGGAAGTCCCCAAGACTGGGCTGGTGTCTCCCCCCCCTCCGTCCACCCACCCACACACACTAGTGACTCTCACACACATAGAAGCAGCTTTTGTCCCTTAAGTCTTGAGCACCAAAGAGACCCTGGAGTGTGAGCGTCAACCCAAACATTTACAGCCAAACACTTCTCAATACACTGCAGTGGAAGTTAAGGAGACCACCATAGCTGCAGAGTGGCGAGGTATTCATAAAAAAAGATTGTTCATCCATCAGTTTTCTTTATTTTTTTTTTGTCTCCCTCACACACTCAAACACTTTAAAATCCCAGAACAGTGAAAACTAATTCTAAGGATTAACCCTGATTTCGGGACAAACACATTGATCCATCCAAAGCAACAGTCTGGCATTTGGCATCAGGCTTCTATGATTCTATTTTAACACAGTCTAGCATCTTAATAAGTTAACATGTTCAGGCATACAGTGCAGAAAGTTTCGATCATGCCATCTCCATAGATCACAAACCCACACAGTAGTTCTGACACAGATTCCGGCTGCATGTGCACTGCAGACAGAGAACAGTTCACGAAAAGCTTAGAAAAATTGGAGCTCACCATGTTCTGCATGCAGGACATCTCTCGGACCAGCTCTGGCTCTTTGCTGCAGTTTGGTCTCTCGCTTTCGTTATATAACAAAATAAAGTGAGTTTACGTGGCTCCGCAGGATATTTTTCCAGGACTTAAAGCGGAGCAGCAGACAAGGATCAGAGCTGCTGGCGGCGTGCAGAGACAGCGGCACACTGGGACGGCCTCCTTTCCCTCTCGGAGATTTGAACAGCTCCAGGGGCAGAGTGAGAAGAGGGTGCGCACGAGAGGCAGAGGCACATGTGCCCCGGTGACTGGACTGACACACTGCAGAGGATGAAGAGAGACAGCGCCATCTAGCGACCAGGCAAGATAGTACACTCACTGTAAATACAATTAACAATAGCACTGAAACGCAGTTCAGATACTAGTGTAGGAGCCAAGTTACATTCATACATGTTAACGTGAATAAATAAGCAGTGCAATTTTGAGTTAATCTTTATTTTAGGGATTTCATTGTATAAGTTAAGTTGTAAAATGGATTAAAAGTCAGCTAAAGGTAATTTGATTTAATTCATGTGGATTTTCTGTAGTTAAAAAGCAGTATGGTATTGCTGTTAGAGCAGTGAGGTAGGTTACTTTAAGAGAGGGAGAGCTCTTTAGTGCTGGGGGAGGGTTAGACCGGTTTCAGGCAGTTGAGGATCAATTAAGGACCGAGCCACATGGTTTCTTTACCGTAGTATAGTTCATTGATTAGGAGAACTTGACTTTGAATCATCCATTAAGATTGTTTAACAAAACTGTGGATTAAATGAATCTGTTTGATCAGTTTTACTTCGGAGTCCTGTGGAAGTTTGTTCCTCTTCAAGTGAACATAGACGAGTAAATCCAAGACCATTTGATCTTCAACCCACCACTAGGACCCATCAAAGATCCCACAAAATAGGTTCATCACCTGCCAGCATTTTTGGTGATTTGATGATTTATACATTTGAAATTACAAACAACCAAGATATCATAAAAATGATTTAGCCTTCTACATTTTTTTTGCAATATTACTTCTCATTGTGTTCAAATAGTAAATTACATCTTAAGAGACAGCTTTAGGGGGCGGGGCTAGACTGTAGGCTAGTGTGTCAGGTCAGGCTGCTGATTGATTGATTCTGAGTAAATCAAGAAGCTGTTCTTAGTAGCCTACTTTGTTCGAGGCTGGAAAGTAACTTTAAGTGACTGTTATTTAAAACAAGTGGACCTATTTCCATTTTTGCTTCTTCTCCACCAAGGCTCAAAGGCACGTTTTGTAATTAACAACAAAACATTTATTTGACAACTTTAGTTTGAGGGCTTCGGAGTAAATAGATTGTCAATACAACATTTAGGCTATTTGAAAAGTTCTTTGCGTTTTAAAAAGTTCCACTCGATAGTCTGTTATTTAGGCTATAGGAGTTCAGTACTGAATCAACAGCAAACAGCTGTAGGCCTACATTAACAGATATTCTGTTATTTATTGGCGTTCAGAACAGAATCGTCTGCAAGCAGCTGTACATTTACATTTTTAAAATGGAGCCAGGAGAAGCTTCAGTTTTAAGATTTACTTTTAAGATTTACTTTTATTGATCCCCGCAAGGGGAAATTCTGTTTTTTACACCCTGTAAGTCATACAACACACACACAGGCTGAAATATACACACACATGCACAAACAGGATCCTATGGACATGCACTAATGGAGAGATGTCAGAGTGACGGAGCTGCCCACAGCGGGCGCTCCTGAGCTGGTGGTGGGGAGGGGGTTTGGTGCCTTGCTCAAGGGCACCTCGGCAGTGCTCAGGAGGTGATCTGGCACCTCTCCAGCTACCAGACCAACTTTCAGATTTGGTCTGCACCTGGACTTCAGCCGTCGACCCTCCGGTTCCCAACCCAAGTCCTTACAGACTGAGCTACTGCCGCCCCCGCAATTTTTTGATACATTTACAAGAGTGTATGGACAGTGGACCTTATCGCTCTCCCTCTCTCTTGCTCTGAAGCCCAACATCGGGATCTGACCTAAGCCCAACGTCCGGATCTGACGTCAGCCCAACGTCCGAATCTGACGTCAGCCCAACGTCCGAATCTGACGTCAGCCCAACGTCCGGATCTGACGTCAGCCCAACGTCCGGATCTGACGTCAGCCCAACGTCCGGATCTGACGTCAGCCCAACGTCCGAATCTGACGTCAGCCCAACGTCCGAATCTGACGTCAGCCCAACGTCGGGATATGCAACGTCTGCTATATAAATACATTCCACTGAAATGTGGCTGTTAACTGAGTACTTTACGTTTTGAAACAAATGTGTAGTATTTGTGTTTTTATACTGTGATCTTCACATTTTAATTTATTAAACATCTTTCTAGTTCTTTGGTCAATACACAGTTCCCAAAGGGTTGGGGTCAACAGGGGTCAACTGTGGACAATCAGCAAACTGTTGCCACTGGACCCCAGATCAGACAAATACACCTTTACCTTATGTCTGAAGACATAAAATAACAATATGTCATAGAAAAATAAACAATTATTTCATAACTTTGTTTTATTGTATTTTTATTGTCTACATCAACATCTTTGGCAGGGTCCGGCACAAAAAGAACTCATTAGAAAAAGCAAGAACTATCCTATAAAAAACATATAATACACAAGCTTGATGCACATTACTTAATATACATTCATCTACACAACAGAATCTCTATTATCATTTTATGTTTCCATGACTCAGACTGACAGAAGATAGGTTCTGTAACTGTCACTCATAACATGCTGTTTAATACGGCGACAATGCAAGCTATTGCACCTGACCCCCCACCCCACCAACCCCTTATTTCCCCTCAGTATTATCATTTAGTTTTGTTGGTTAGTGGTTTCTTAGGTTTGACCTTTGGGACCACTTTAACTGTGGTGGACACTGATTTAGCTCCTTGCAGGTTCTGGGCGGTACAGGTGTACATTCCCTCGTCCATGTCCCTCGCTTCATCCACTAGGAGGACAGATTTAGACTGCTGTCGGGCCGATCCTCCAGCCACTGGACTGATGTTCTCCTGTGTGTACAGAGGCCTCCCAATCTGCAACCAGCACAGGAGTTTGGTTCAATTAAAAACCAGAATCATATACAGCACGAGCGATGTTGAGCTTTTATGTTGAGTCATTGATAAATAGTTATAGGCCTGGATCCTCAGCAGTTCATAGGTTGTAAAATACAAACAAACCAACTTATATATATATATATATAACAAATAATGTTTTCAAAGCCCCAGTGTTATGGCATGTGTTATTCAATTAATTGAATTCAATTCAGCCTTCTGTTGAGAGGAGGTATGAGATGAATAATGAGGTGTAGAGAGATAGAGGAAGTGCATCAATACCAAATATATTTAGCTGAGTTTTTTGCAGGTGGAATTTCAGGTAAAAGTAAGAGTTGATAATATGGTAAACATGGGAGGAGAGTTTACTGAAATATAATATGTGTATGTCTAAACTTGAAGCCATGGGGGTCTGTGTTGGCAGACTAATAGAATACATGGTTGCCTTAGTATTGCTGACTAAGAAAAATCAAACATTTACTGAAACGAATACAGGGCCCACCTGATGCTCCATAGCTTGACTTTTATGACCCTATAGTTGTGCTCCTTACTGTCTTCTTGGAGAGGGTTTCTAACTGTATTAGCAGTGACCCACAGTACAAAGCTAACACCTAGTTCATTGACTGTATAATTCATTAACTGTAATCTCTGTTTGAACTACCTGTAGTCGTAAGCTTGTTTTAAATATTTGTATCTTTATGTTCATCTAACAGTGTCACAGAAGTTGTCATTCTGGGCCTAACATTTTATAAATATTGCCCTTTGGGATTTTCTTTCTGCCTCTCTAAAATCCTCTCTCGTCACTAATTGTATAGTCCAGTGTGTCAAAGGCAGGGATGAGCTCTAAACCAAGGTAACCAAACTTTAGGAGTTGCCACAGATGGTGGTAAATTTAATAGTGGTCAAGGGTTATCAAGTTAGTCGTATAAGGCCCAGTTTATTAAGTAGGGGTTGAACTACAACCTGTTTTAACCAGTGGAGCAGAGCTAATGATATAGAGAATGCTCATTTACGTTCCTATCAACAGCTCTCGCAGTAACTTTGTTGAAACAGCATGAAGACAGCTGGTAGAGGTTTTTAATGGAAGAAATGATTTCAATGAGAAAGCCAATGGAGAAGTGTTTGGTTTGCATGCTCGTCTTTTGAGTGAGGCAATTGAGTCACAAATAAAGCTACAGTATTGACTGACCAGAGTGAGTGAACAAACTGTTCGTTCACTCTTCCAAAGAGTCTGACCTGTTGTCCTGGGTATTCCCAGATGAACTCAACGCCCACGTCCTGCTCTCCAATCACAGAGCAGCTGACCTGCAAATTGTCCCCCACACCCACCGACCCTGATGAGGCCTGGATCACTGGAGCAGGAGGAGCCATGGGATCTGAAATAGAGATTACAGGTGAATTATACTTTTTAATAATTTCAAAGTGACTCTTTTTTTCTTGTGCAATTTAAAGTATGCATATGAAGGAGGTATGACTACTGCCCTCTTCGAGTATTAAAGTGGTAGACCAGCCAACAGTGATAACACAAAGTGTCACATCTAGAGCAGTTTTTAATAAATATATACTTTGCAAAGTCTATAAAATTGTGTGTAACAAAAGTGCAACCAAAATGCTATCTTCCCGGGAAATAAATTGCTTTTGATTTTTCTGTTGAAAGTGGAAGATGTGGTTGCAGTCTAACTACTAATCCTAAATGAAACTGAATTAGCATCTTAAAATAGAAGTGCTGAATTAGGTTGGATAGTTAGTTTAAGTTTAAGTGCTCAGGGAAACTGAAACAGTATAAAAATGGTTGAAGATTGACCTAAAAAAGTGTTAATGTCAAATATTTAAATGCAATATTAAAATGACTAGAAAGTCATTTCTCTCCACTTGAGAGAAATGAATGCCAGTAGTGCATAAAGAAACAACAACCAGTTCAACTTTTAGCAGCTGTAAGTATTATTGTTTAGTTGTTTTTACAGGTAGCTTGAAAACCTTGGACTTGAAAGGATTTGTAGTGAATGTCAAAGAGTAAGCTTTGCTATGATTACAATGTAGATGTTCTGAGCCTACAAATGATTGGTCTGTTTGACTGTTATACTCGTGGGGGGGGACATGCTATTTTACTCAGTTGTCATCCAGAATAGTAAGTTTTCACTCCTGCATGTAAGATGGGCAGACTGCAGTCTCTAAATGGTTTGATCCTCTATAACTATATGGTGCTGGTTTATGTCTAATGCCAAGAGAGGCTTTGACGCAGAATAATAAAAGACAACGACGGGATAACTTATTGGAGGCACTCACAGTTGACATAAATAAGCATGTATTTGGTGGAGCTCTGCCTCAAGTTGCCCAGACTGGCAACACAGAACAAGGCTCCTGCGTGATAAGGCCGAGGTCGATGAATGGTCATGCCCTTCCTCACATTAAAGGAGATCTCCGTTCCATCCACTGCCACCTCTGCTGGTGGAAACTCCCTGTGCAGAGTTACTTTAGCCTCAGGTGATGTCACCTGGCAGGGGAGGACTGTTGGCCAGTTAGATCTCAGCTGAATTACCTCGTAGTAATCAGATGAAGGAACAAACAGTTCATGTGGGTCTGATTGGCACAGGGAGAAATATGGCAGATTGATGATAAGATAAGTGAACGTAAAAAGGCTTTCTATCAAGCTTATGGCAATATAAAACTTGTGATTCTGAGAAGTGTGTGTGTAAGCATCAATAAAATGTGTTCACTGTACCGGGAAAGAAGACGAAGACTTTATTGGCTTTTTGATACTCCTTCCTGCAGTCTGTGTCTTCACAGTACATAGGAAAACATGTGTACTCCCCTGTGTCTGCACCAGTAGTGTTGACTAAAGTCAGGACACCATATCTCTCCTGTTGGACAATTCTGCAGAGCCAAAGCAGGAAAGTTTCAAAGAACATATAACATATTGACTTTCCAACAGATCGTGTAAATCTGAAGACTTGAGAAACACATCATGTATTATAAAGATCAATAGACCGTGGAGTTTACCTTAGCCTTCCATCATCATCCTCCTCCAGGTACGAGGGGACGCTCCACTGCACAGGTTTGCCTCTGCACCTCAGCTCCAGAGTGTCTCCTGACTGCACACTGATGGTCTCGCCGACCCTCTTAAACTTCCCTCTGTTTAGCACCTTAAAACATCAGATACATGATTATGCAGTTGTGTATAGAAAAAATCATTGCCTTGCTCAAAGCCACCTCGGCAGTGCTCAGGAAGTGAACTGGCACCTCTCCAGCTACCAGACCAATTTCCAGATTTGGTCAGCACTGGGACTTGAACCGTCGACTCCCTGCAACACAAGTCCTTACAGACTGAGCTACTGCGTCACATTAAGTTGTGTGTGTGATAACAAAAGAGGATGGAAGCAGCAGATTGTTTTTTATATTTTAAGTTCAAGCATGTTGGATCTTATTTAGGAGGGAAGTGATGAGTTAAATTTTTTTATCTTTAATAAGGAAACAAATCAATCCAATGTCCATTACATAATAAGCTTATGTGTTACATTGTATAATTGTAGCTGGAATTTATAATGTTTTCAAAGCCCCAGTGTTATGGCATGTGTTATTCAATTAAACTAATTTGTCGCCACACAGTTATAGTTACTTAACCATACCAAATCTGAATTTATTTTATTGCCTGTCACTTAGTAATTCAGCCTTCTGTTGAGAGGAGGTATGAGATGAATAATGAGGTGTAGAGAGATAGAGGAAGTGCATCATACCAAATATATTTAGCTGAGTTTTTTGCAGGTGGAATTTCAGGTAAAAGTAAGAGTTGATAATATGGTAAACATGGGAGGAGAGTTTACTGAAATATAATATGTGTATGTCTAAACTTGAAGCCATGGGGGTCTGTGTTGGCAGACTAATAGAATACATGGTTGCCTTAGTATTGCTGACTAAGAAAAATCAAACATTTACTGAAACGACTACAGCACCCACCTGATGCTCCATAGCTTGACTTTTTATTATGACCCTATAGTTGTGCTCCTTACTGTCTTCTTGGAGAGGGTTTCTAACTGTATTAGCAGTGACCCACAGTACAAAGCTAACACCTAGTTCATTGAATGTATAATTCATTAACTGTAATCTCTGTTTGAACTACCTGTAGTTGTAAGCTTGTTTTAAATATTTGTATCTTTATGTTTATCTAACAGTGTCACAGAAGTTGTCATTCTGGGCCTAACATTTTATAAATATTGCCCTTTGGGATTTTCTTTCTGCCTCTCTAAAATCCTCTAATTGCATAGTCCAGTGTGTCAAAGGCAGGGATGAGCTCTAAACCAAGGTAACCAAACTTTAGGAGTTGCCACAGATGGTGGTAAATTTAATAGTGGTCAAGGGTTATCAAGTTAGTCGTATAAGGCCCAGTTTATTAAGTAGGGGTTGAACTACAACCTGTTTTAACCAGTGGAGCAGAGCTAATGATATAGAGAATGCTCATTTACATTCCTATCAACAGCTCTCGCAGTAACTTTGTTGAAACAGCATGAAGACAGCTGGTAGAGGTTTTTAATGGAAGAAATGATTTCAATGAGAAAAGAAAGGCAAATAGAAAGAAAATGGTCAAATTCTGGTAGACGCTTCATTCCATTAACGTATGGCAATTGTCTTAATGAAGGGAGACATTTCTAGCCTAATTAATCTTACAAAAAACAAAGAGTAAAGTCCAGAAGTATCACACACCATGCTCCCCCATTTCTCTTGAATTTTTGTTCTTGGCTAACACTTAAATATCACTATTGTTGTTTCTCTTGTATTGTATCTCTGTTAAGAAGAGACGAGAGATAGAAGGGTTTAGTGTTGAATACAATTCTTGAGAAGTGACAGCCATAGATATTAAAGAAGCTCAAAGGCCCGTCTTATCTGTACTTTTAATTATTTTTTATGGAGTCATCAAGGGTCATCAAGGGATCAAGGGTGGCTGATAAGCCAATGGAGAAGTGTTTGGTTTGCATGCTCGTCTTTTAAGTGGGGCAATTGAGTCACAAATAAAGCTACAGTATTGACTGACCAGAGTGATTGATTCTTAAGTGTTTGAAGATAAGGAGGATTTCATTTTGGAGAATAGTCAGTGGAGTCTTAAGTGCAGGGATGAATATTCCTGCAACATATCCTGTAACATATCAAATTTTAATTATGGTCAGTACCTGTGTGAGTACAGTCTGTGCTGGGGCTGCAGGAGAAGCTTTGATCTTAGGTTTGCCTGTTGCTGCTCTTGGTCCTTTATCTGTGGATTTCCCGAGTTTGGGTTTGTTTTGCTTTGGCCTCCTCCCTGGAGTGGTCTGCTTTTGCTGGGCATCTTTTTGACAGTAAGCTACACAGTGTACAGAGCACATGATGACACATAGATTATTACAAATAGAGATATGGTTAAATGTTTACTGCTTTGACAAGTTAAAGAAGGAACATAAGAATGTTCTTAAGAATGGATTACACCAATATTGCTAATTCTAGGAACACTTGTTTACAGAACTGCTCAGCAAGTGAATAAAATCACTTACCTAACTCGAAGATTAGGCCACAAATAAGGAGAGCGCTCAACTTCAGCCTCCACTGTGACCCAAACATGTTCACAAATAGAAGGATAAATCACTGGAGTATTACAACAGTTTGGGGATTGTACGTTCATGCACAGAGAACAAACTGCAGAAACCAGTAAGAGGCAAAGAAAGAGAGAGAAGAGTTAGGGGCAGAGCTTGCCAAGTGAGCGGTCAACTGTTTACCACAAATTCCTCCTCTGTGAGCGGCATTAGTACCTCAAATTCCTCCAGACTGGCTCAATGGAGGCTTTCAAACCTGTCCGGACCAATGAGGGTCCAGACATGAAGGCCTCTCCATGTGGAATCACACAGCCATGTTTGCTTAGCTGCTGGACTGGGAGTGTGCTTGCAGTGTGAGTCTGGTCCCGAAAGGAACACCATGCAGCCCAGACGAAGCCTGTGGCGTTGTTATTACAGGCATTTGGTGCCCAATAAACCTTCTGTCGCTCATTAACTGACTGACTGCCCTCAGGTCAAGCCAATCACAATCCTGAGCAGCTTTATATGAACATAAAATGAAGAAGGTCATGCATTAAAAATGCTTTATTTACTGGTAATCTAACTTTTGACTTCCCTTTGGAGATTTATCAATACATATAAATATTGAATATTAAATATTCTTAATTTTCATGTGCTGATTCAAACAGCCTCTTTGCCCTGTTAGAGACTGACATGAACATCAATACTTTTGTGTCAAACAAATCTGTGCAAACATAATGTGAAAATCCAACAACTTAAAATAGTTTATTTTTCTTTTCTTTTATATAAATCCCCTTGGTAAAAATCTACAATGTTGACTTTCTTTTTAAATGGACTAGCCTTCACTTCTTGGCATATACAAACAGATTATTCTTGATGGAATGATGTGGGACAAGAAGGAAAGGTACATGTATGCAGGGTTGGTTCACTTTTTCAGACTTTTTCCCAGGAAGAACAATGTAAATCTTTTCTTTCGAGTGCCTTGAAAGACACAGTTTTGAACATGACAGATAAGCTGCTGTGAAAGGTCATTTTGTTCTCAGTGAACTCCGAGTAATGAGCCACCTCTGGCTCTTTATCCAAGATTACAAATGAAACTTGAACATTTTTGAATAAGACGCCTCTCAAAACATCCAGAAAGTAGTAGGCTTTTTAGTTAAGGAAAATATTTACAATATACAGTATATAATTAGAAAACATGTACAGTCTCTTTATTTACATTGATCCAACATCTTATTAACAAAGTACAAGTTAAAACAGAGCAAAGTATGACATTTCTCTATCTACACTGTAAATACTAAACTCTATATTTTGACATATAGAAAAAACAACTGTTGTTATCATAATCACACTTTGTTAGAATTGTACAAAATTACAATAATTCCTCATTTTACAATGGATATTCAAATCTTATACTTGTCATTGAGATGTCATAAAACAGTTATCAACAGGAAAGAGTCTGAGCCCTTTAATACAGGTGATACCAAGTGCTCTGATAGAAGATTTTAAGGCTCCAGGACAGCATCACAGGAACAGGTACAAAATACGTCTACTATCATTTCAATGTTTGCAGTAAGAATAGGTAGAAAAGATATAAAGTCCATCAACGTGTCATAAAGTGTCAATGTGGAACAAAAGCTGAGAAAGTGGCCCATGTGTCCATGTTTTTCCGATTCATCACGGAACAGGTGAGCATGTCAGCACTGGTACATTTCAAACAGTAGTTAAACACTTAAAGCTGTATCTCACTGTAACATCTCAATCTTTTTCAGAGCTCAGAATCTTTCCTCTTTAATGACCATGGTGTCTGTTTTTTCGCTGACAGTTTCAGTGTTCATGTGGCCGGCCCTGATACGCTTCCTCTGGACGCTGTGACGTAGACCGTAGCCGAAATAGATTAATAACCCTGGAAAAAAAAACAAGGAGATCATTTAGCAACAAACTCAAAAGGACTCTGAATCTTTCAGTCAGAAACACGGCCTTACCCACTGACATCCAAATAGCATATCGTAACCATGTGTCTGCTCCTAACTGGACCATCAGGTATACATTGATGAATGTGCTAACTAAAGGCAATGCAGGGAGTAAGGGCACCTGTGAAAAGAAAAAAATATTGATGTCTGTTAGCTCTTAAAGACAAAATGTGGGTCTAATATTTTGAATTCACAACTGATATATCCTAACCATAAAAGTAGCCTTTGTTGGATTTTGTGGGTGCCTCCAGATGATCAAAGTGTTGACCAGCAGGATGAGCGCGAGGATGCAGACGATGGCCACACTCCATCCTTCCAAACGAGACAGAGCGTCTAAGGCTTGGGTCAGGGTGACACACAGTGCAACCACACATGCAACTGCAGAAAAGGAAAAGTCAATTGTTGGTGGTCAAGGAAAAATTACAAACACATGAGACTGAAATCTAACAAGTGCCTCATTAATGTTAGCTGTTTGTACCTGAGAAAACAGTCAAAAGTGTGACTGTTTTTGAGGTGGATGAATTCGGGAGGAAGGAGGCTTCAGGATGTTGAACTTCTTTGATTCTGCGATCTTCAGGTCGCACTCTGAATCAGATGGACTCTCTTGGTACCTTGAATACAAAATGAATTACAACATGAATTAAGTTTTTGTTCAAGTCGTTAAAGCTTTGTGTCAGTGAAAATGGATAAAGTAGCCTACCTGAGTATTAAGATGCATATGGCAACAAGTGTGTAAGCAAACAAAGTCCCGATGGACATCATTTCCACCAAAGCTTCCAGGTCAAACAGCAGAGCCATGATGGCTGAAGGTGACAAACAGAAAGAAAGAATTACTTTATTTCTATAAACCTTACAGCATGCATGTATATAGAAGCATGTGAACAGCTGGAGCTTCTGTACCCGCAACGACTCCTGATGAAATGGTAGCTATAGCAGGACTGCCCTTGGCGGTGACTTTGGTCAGGGGTGTGAAAAGCAGGCCATCTCTTGCCATGGCGAACAACACTCGGGGCATTGGGAACATTGAACCCAGCAAGCTGAGGAGAAAAATGCAAATACGGTCTGTAAAGCCACATTCATTCTTTTAGTATCAAGCCAACACCATTATGTATTTAATTTAGAGACCAACAGACTATAATCCTTGAAACATAAAATGTCATTCTCTCTTTACTAGGCCACAGCTCTGGACTGACGATAAAATCTGCATCTGACTCGGACTGCAGTCTAATCTGAGAAAACACAAACGCGTTTTTGTTGTGCTGATTGATGGCCTGTTGGATTCCTGGCCTGTTAAATAAAATGATGTAAATGAATGTATTTCTTTTCAATTTTTGATTTGAACAATCTTTTATACATATTTCACCAATGTAATGGCTAGTGAAAGGAAGAAGAGTTTCCTTCTGCTAAGTGAAGTCTCCTAACTGCTCTTAATTGTGAATAAACTACTTCATACTCACAAGTCATGGCAATCTATGCACACAAGAAGTAGAATCGTTTTCTAGCAGACAGCGCTGCCTTTTGGGGTTTGTTTGTTTCACAAGGTTTTTAAAATCTTTCAAGCTTGGGTAAAGCCTTTGCATTAACTAATGTAAAAGACTGAAACAAAGGAGGCGATCATCTTATCTTAAGCTGTTAACATTCAAATATGAGTCTGTGGATAAAACTATTATGAAATATAAGTGTGGAGAGTGCAGCTTGTCTGTACTCTGACACATTGTAGCTTTACTAGCACCATGCTTATATGCTTAAATGGAAAGCATAATGTTGAGGTAGATTAATGTTTACCATAGCATGCTATGTTTTCTGATAGCATGCTAACATTTGCTAATTGGTGCCACAAAAGACAGTGTGAATATCGTTACAATTATAGGTATAAAAAAATTATGTTTGGGTGCCGGTGGCCGAGTAATTAATTTGCCCCATGCACAGAGGCTGTAGTCCTCGAAGCAGGCAGCTGGGCTTGACTGCAACCTGTGGCTCCATTCTAACTCTCTCTCTCTCTCTCTCTCTCTCTCTCTCTCTCTCTCTCTCTCTCTCCAAATTCCAAATCTATCCACTGTCCTTTTCTCTCCAAGAAAGGCACAGAAAGCCCAACAATAAATCTTATTTAAAAAAAAGTATAAATATGAGATTTGACCTTAATATATTAAGGTCAAATAATATTTACTGTAATATGTATTTACAGAGACAATTCTCTCATATTTACACATTTCTAACTCATGATGGCACAAAAAAAAGTAGTTGATCACAAAATTAGCTGGGAATAATCCCATGTGTTGTTTCATACCTGGTGGACAGAGCACACAGAGATCCAACAGCCACAACATATCTGGCAGGACCCCAGCCCACATATTCAAATGCCACTGGTAGGGGGCTTTTTTCACTGAGCATGTAGTATGGCATCATCAATGTGAGAGCAGCAGACACAGCAAAGTAGGCCACGAAACAGATCAGAAGAGAGGCCACAATACCAATAGGGACAGACTTCTGAGGGTTCTTCACCTCCTCACCTATGAAAAAAGATGGGAAAGTTCATTGTACTTATATTTATTCCACTTTTTTTTGATTAGTTAAGTAGAAAAGTGAGAAACACTTCATTAAATCAGTGTTCTGATTAAGATAGCACCCTTCAAAGGACTTTTGTGTCTTCTACAACACAAGTTGTAACTTAAATGTCAAACAGAGGGTCAGGCTACTGTATCATACCAGGCTTCTTGCCAGTTAAGCTTGAAGGTTGAATACTGAAGTTGTAGTTAAACAAAATCACATACATAAGTAGGGAGATTTCAGGAACTTTAAGTCACATCTCATGACATTCATCATCATCATCATCATCATCACCATCAGACTTTAAAGGAGCAATATGTAACTCTGACATGTAGCGTTTCAAATTGTCATGGGAAAATGTATTAACTGTATTGATAAATGTTGCCTATGGGCTTCCGTAGATTTCTAATACTTGACAAAAGCTTGATTTTATTGGTGAATAATGAAAGTATATTTCTTTCAATTTGTACAATTTCTGGTGTTCTACTTGGCAAACGTTGTAACGTTTTGAAGTGGTTTTCTGACCTGTTGTTGCGATGCAGTCAAATCCAACAAAGGCATAGAAACACGTTGCAGCTCCAGCCAGTGTTCCACCAAATCCATAAGGGAAAAATCCCCCTTCTCCAAACACACTCGTCACATTGGCAGTGGTGCTTAGGTTTCTGCAGAGAGGAGAGTGCATTATCATCATTCTTTACACATGTTACTTCATTTGTGTGAGACAGGCTACTCCACACAGACAAGATCGTTTTACTCTATGTCGTTACTTGAGTTCTGCGGTGGCGTTAATCAGAGCCTCCTCACTGATGTACCAGTTGATGATGTCACCCTTGATGAATCCAGAGATGGTCACAAACACCAGCACTAGGATGTTGATTACTGTGAAAATCTTGTTGATTGTTGTTGACTCTTTAACTCCAAAAGCCAGAACACCTACACAGAAAACAGTGTGATTGGAAAATGTTTTTATATGCAATACTGCCACCATTTAAAACCATTTTCAAAAGTTTTACCTGACAGAAGAAGCACCAGAACAGCAGCAAACACATCCGGGTAAGGAGCCAGGCCAGTGAGGGCCATGGGTGCATTTTCTTCAAAGAATTTGGATATGACGCCCCCAATGAGATCATCAAAGGTCCCACTCCATGCCAGTGCAACACTAGATGTCCCTGAGAAGATAGTGAGAGAAAGAGGCAATGACCTTATCAGCATGAGTCACCACTTTACTGTAGCCATAAACATTAAATACAGAGATGTTATTTCCGTCCTTGCCACTATCACACTTTATGATTCTGTTGTGCAGCAACCCTGTTTTATGGGATTATATGTGCTATCAAGGTGTAGAAAAAAAACATTAAACATACTATTTTAGAGGAAACAAATTCCTTCTAAACTGTCAACCTAGTCTTTCACTGTTAAATGAGTCATTTTTAGAATCGGTTTCTCCAGCAGGTAAAGGTCACTAAAGGCTCCCATGTTGATGGTTGATCATTTATGGGTTTTTAGTGTTCCATGTGAGAAAGCATGTTACAAAGAAGTACATTAGTCAAAGAAAAACAAAATCAACACAACAAAGTGACACAATGTTCTTTCCAAAATTAATCTAAGAGACCTTGACTAATTTAAAGCTTCTGAGCTTCTTTGCTGATGAGGAAAATGTAAACAACAGGCTGTTTCTGACTGTTTTACACCTACCCCACGGTCGTGTTTACAAGCAGAAGAACAACTCTTTAGAGATCTGTGGAGGTTTTCAGTCATGGTTGGCCAGTTCAAGGTTGATCACAAGCAAATGATCAACATTTCTAGCTCCGTCCACCAGTTAGTGTAGAACTGAAAAAGCCTTTCAGAGCAGAGGTATAACGTCTTCAAGAACTTCAACCAAGTCCATTTGCCTTTGGATCAAGCTTAGAATTAACTATATAGAAATAATATATAGGCCTATATATTTATTTATCTATTTAAGCTGATGGTCTGCTTTGCTTTTGTAGATTTACTGAGGCATCAGTATTAATTTAATCTGTTTTATAACCAGCTAAAAAAAAACTCCTCACAGTATCTTTAATAATAGAAAATGGTTATTGATTGATATTGAAAATATATGAAAAATCCATGCAGTTTCAAACTTACCTATGACGTAGGAGAGTAACAGATTCCACCCGGTGATGAAAGCCAGCAGCTCCCCAACAGTCACATAACTGTACAGGTATGCTGAGCCGGTTTTAGGAACCCGGGACCCAAACTCTGCATAACATAACCCCGCAAATATGGATGCCAGAGCCGCTATGAAGAATGATATGATGATGCTGGGTCCAGCTGTGTCTCTGGCCACCTCTCCGGATAAGACGTAGACCCCGGCACCCAAAGTGCTCCCCACACCGAGGGCCACCAGGTCCAGAGTGGTCAGGCATCGGTTAAACGTTGACTGCTCCCCGTCTGGCTCCAGGGGCTTCCTCTGAGATATGCTCCTAAGAAAAGACTTCACCACACCGCACGGCATGTTTCTGAAGAGATTATGCAGTGAGTGACAGGTGGGAGTGCAGGCTGATGTTAGTAAGAAATAAGGAGTGAGGGGTGAGGAGTGAGGGAGAGAGGGCGGATCAGTGAATAATTGTCAGATCGGAAGAACATTTTCTCATCAAAGAACAGTATTTGTTGATATTAATGAACTACACTGGCACAAGAAACTATTTATTTAGAAAATTAAGTTAACAAATAACCATACAAAGTTGGACAAATCCAGTTTTTTTAAATGCTCATGTGATTAAGTGTAGAGCAAAGAAATCAAAGATGAAATTATACTGAAATCACTCACCTCTGCTGTGTTATCTCCTGTCTCACCTTTGTGCTATGAAGAGATAAATAGGATTCTTCATTCACTTATAGTTTTATGTTTTCATAAATGCTTGTCTGCATCATCCTTCTGATATGAGAGTGCTGACGTCTGGAGTTTTCCTCGGTTGAGTAAACGATTGCACTTTACTCAACCTTCAGGTACACGCACAGCCTCTTCCGTGAACAAGTCGCAGGAATGCAGGATAATCTTGTGCAATATCTTGTCATTATGGAAGCAAAAAAAATTGTTTTCTTACCTTATCAGAGTCATGTGAGAGATAACCCCTCCTTCCTGCTTAATTTAGAGTGATCAATCAACAAATAAAACAATTATAGAATTAAAGAGCTTTGGCTGCACAGGTTTATATACTGTTGATATATGGTAAGTGATTTGGCAATTCAACCACACATTTCCTATCTGATACATCAGGGATACAAAAATTAATAAATGAGAAAACAACTAAAGAAAACCTTCATCAAACAGGATCTGTTTCACATTTTTTTCCCCTTTTTTGTTTTCCAAGCAAAAATAGGCATAGAAACTTGTCACATGGTGAATTGTATGTAAAGTTATGAAATAAGGCTTTTCCTGATTATGCCTTCAATATAATACAAGATTTAGCTTTGGATTGTGTCCTTGAAAGAAAGGATCAAGTGAAAACAAATCGTCCAATGTCTGACAGACATAAAAGGAAACATGATTGTCATGACAAAATGTATGTATGTAGAGATTTTAAATATAACTTCCTAACTGTATGTCCTAAGAGTGTGCTAACTTGTATGTGTTGACCTCTCTACCTGGAGGTTTGTGCCTGTAGGACCTGTGAGTTAATGACACACAGGAGGACAAAGCGGCTTTCATGGCTCATGAATGCATCAGTCTACAAACTACACTTTTTGAGAGGAAAAGCTTTCTCATTCACTACTGCAATCAAGGGATTTAAGCTCTCTTAATCCCTCCTGGCATCTTCTGCAGCCGGAAAGAGGCGAGCGTATGTGGACGCTCAGAGTACCTTTGACTGTATTAGAAGCCCAGACTTTGTATCTTAAGATCTAAATCATGCAGATAGCGTTTTCAGAGGGAGAATAGAGTCACGCTAATCTTAACTCAAGCTACTACACACGTGATGAACTCATGTGCTTGTTCATGTGTTTTTATGGCTGTCAGTCATGTATTTAAATAAACTTCTCAAATGCAGTGTTACAAGTAAATATTTCTTATTATTGCATAAAACTTCACAGATCTAAGTTAGAGGTCAGAGATTTAAGTTTGACATCATAGAAATCTTAACTTAATAGATACACAAATGTCTTTACCTTGCCTTCAGTTCCACAACAAGGGACAGGTGCCTGTGTGCTGAAAACAACATAAAATATCTGTGCTGGTGACTCTGATGAAGGAAACATGATTTCTTCTGCGATATATACAAGCCTGGCCTGTGTGACCCTCCCACTCGACAGAATTACTCACAAAGTAGCCTTTCCAGAGCAGTTTGGATCATAATGGGTTCATTATTGTAACGAAGGCAAAGGGTGAGAACTGTGAACTGCAAATCCCATTCAGAATGTCAAAAATGCTTTTGTGCTTGCTTAGTTTGATGTTTTGTTTTCATAATTTTTCATTACATTATTTAAATTCACAACATTTTTGGAAAGATTTTAGGGACTGCATCCAGTTTCTTGGATTGAGCAGTCCCAGGGGAACAGTTGAGGAAAAAAGAAATAATCAATCTGTTATAAATAAACTAAGTCTTCACATGCCTTGAAAAAATAAACAATCACTAATCAGTTTCACTATAAATGTGTGAGTTCAACAACCAACAAGAAGACTGAGATCTGATGGATGCAATCTAAACCTGTTAGTTTAAATCATAAAATGTGAGAAAAAAAAGTGGTTTAGTATCGAATAGACATTCTCTGTTAATTATAGTGACCGTATTAGCTATTGGATGTTACTGACACAATTATATTAATTGTATATTTAAAGTGTTGGTGTGATCCCAATGAGATTCAGAACTGACCTCGGAACAGAAAATGGGACAATTGCAGCAATACAATGTGCCCATGCACATACGGACTACTATGGAGGCTCGTCAAGCCACAGTTACGGCTCATCAACAGGGAATCAGCGTAGCCAGTCCTGGTGGTCCTTTTTCAGAAGAGGAAGGTATGTAACTATGTATTGCCTAGTGATCAGATCAATTATTCAATATTCACTATTATGAATTATTGTTTTCAGACCTCTCTTTAAAATGCTGATAACATTCCTCATCTCAGCCCTCTAGATTATTCAATCAATTCAACATTTCTCCTCGTGTGTAAAAAAACCCAAAAAACAACAACTTTGCATTTAATGTATTCCTAGGTCTCAGTTTTGGATGGACCTGTTTGGAGACCTAAGAGACTCTGGACACTTCAACGGTTGCCATGAACACCAGTGCTTACTGAGATTCTGCTTCAGTAATGTTCTGCAGAAAGACCTGGATGAATGTACGGACCTCTGGAACAAGCACAGGATTCGACCATCCAGACTTGCCTCATGTCCTGGAGGGATTCCAAACAAACTCTTTTTGTTGCCTCACAGGTAATCCACATCAACTCAGAGTTAAATGATCATAAACTGAATATTGTATTTTAACAAATTGCACTGCACTCGTTATGGTAACTATATTTGGATTATTGTATATTTTTGTAAATTATAGTATTTAATATAATTTATAGGCTAGTTGTCCTGCCTTTGTTTACTTTCACATTTCTGTATCAACAAGCAAACACATCTTATTAACAATGGCCATTTCAAACTACATTTCTAATATCTGGTTAAAAAACCCTTTCATGATTCTATAATTGTCTGAATTTGCTTTCTTGAAGACAGGAAGACAGGGAACTAAATGTGTTTCCAGAGGCCAGGCAAACAATTGATTCATGCTGTGACCCAGACATTCAGGTTTATCTACAACAGGCTGTGGAACAAAATAGATTACAGCAGCCACAAAATAACTGGGCTATAGATGTGGACTATACTGAAGCCCTTACCACATATTCCATGTTACAGTAAACCTATAGCTGAGAAAAAAAATTCTGCTTTAGCAGGAGATGGCTTTACATTACATACATTACTGATTGGACTGTAAGTGCTTATATTTTGGGAACTGAGTCTTAATTGTGAACTGACATATAAGTGGCATAAAGGGTTTTAATTGTTAATAAAAGGACGATCTACCAAAATTCTCAAATGTGGTACTTTCAATTTTCAGGTTTGGTAACTGGAATTCTTACAAGCACAAAATATTTTATTCTGCGTGAACTGATATCACTATTTACACTACATGTAGAACATCTAGTAGTTAGTTTCCTTGTATAGTATGCCATGTTAACAGCAGATACTGTGCATTAATGCTACAGAAGTCACAAGCTAAATAATTCACAACAAATTACACAATTGACATCTGTACACACCAGTATTTTACCCTCATAAAGGTATTTGTTTTATTTATTGAAAACCAACATATGTTGCTGGAAAAAAATGCAGAATACATCATATTTGTTAGTAAATAAAATGTCATAGCATTTTTTTTTATGAGAGTAATCCATGAAAACAAAGACACAGCAAATTAAAAAACAAGGAGCTAAAATCAGGACAGGAACCATGAAGTGTGAACCGTCTCCAAGGTTTGAAAACTTCTAAATACATTAACAGATCTGGGGCCCGTTTCTGAAAGAAGGTTTTGTGTAAACTCTGAGTCAGTTAACCCTGAAATGAGGGAAACTCTGGGTGTTCTGTTTCAGAAGAGGAGATCACTCAAACCTGAGAAAGAGGGGTAACTCCAGCCCGTTTCAGAGGGAGAGGTTACTTTACCTCTGAGTCAGTTACTATGGTAACTGAGTCTGTGAACCTAACCTGGTCGGGAACAGGTTTTCTTCAATGATCCCAGAGTTTCTCTAGGTCTCCACCCTCTTTCAGAGCCAGAAACGCCATTTCATTTCCTCATTCTTTCATTCAGTCCGTATCACGCCGTGTCAGTGAAGATTCGCTGTTTGTCTGAATAAAAATCCAGGTTGTTTTAATATGATATGTTAGGGTGGCAATAGCCTACTACAGCGTATAAAACAAACTATTTCATCGAACATGGCATGTCTTTAAGTCGGTATGAAGGGACTGCATTACTCCGCAGGGAATTAGAGCCTAGGCTGCATTAACGTCGGGAGATGTTGATTTATAAACTAAACAGGATAAAGGTGAGAGGACATTTAGCCTATGTGTGTGAATACAGCTTTATGTTGAGGATAGAGTTAATGCACATTCAAATAAACTCTGAATGAAGTTAACTTTAAATCTATATGAGTCTATTATGTTATTATATTTCATTTTGAGCTGTTTAAAAGTCGATTTTCTTCTGCTGGATTGCATCTTGAATGAAAAATAAATTGTATAGGTTTAATAGCCTACCATTCCATCAGTTTTGACCTGCAATATTATAATTCTGATTAAATATTACATTTATAGACTTTATGAGCAGCTGTTTGCTCTTACACCACTTTTCTCTCCTTTGCCGCTCCAGCAGTGTTACTTTTTTTCCCTTCTTAAACCTGTTCATATTCACCGTGGCTTGTGGCCACGTGAAGATATTGATATATTTCGAGATGGTTAAAGTAGGAGGATCTCTTTTTTGTCACCTGTTGCCGTGGTGAATCGTAGTATCGGGGCTCCATTCATGTTGGCTTTTTATCGTTGTGGTGCATGCGCTGAACACCGAGTGGACCTACTCAGAGTTAATTTAACTTATTCAAATCTGCTGATCTGAAACCGAAAACTCAGAGTTTCCCACCTGAGAGGAAATCAACTCAGAGCTCAGGGTTAGACTGAGGGTTTGTTCAACCTTCTTTCAGAAACGGGCCCCAGGTCTGTAAGTGACTGCCTCAGAGTCAAACAATGTTTATCAGCAGTCACAAGGGATAATACAATCACTCTTAATGGATGTAAAATCTCGTAAGCTCTTGCCACAACCACTGCAAACCACGGTCGCAAATTTTCTGGGAGCTCTTTGCCACAATTTGGGCAATACATCATGAATTTTAAATCTCCACTTACTTCATTGACATTTCTCTGCCTGGCTCCAAAGGCGTATGAAGCATTTACTTCATTACGCCTTTGGCACAGCACGTCTCACCTCGGCTAGTGGAGA